TTTCATTGCCCAAAAGTCAAGTTTTCTGTTATCTTATTATTTGTTATTGTTATCTACCTAATTATTGCATCTTGTTTGTTTAAATAAAAATCATTTGTCTATATGAAATTATATGAATCTAGAGTATTTAGACTTAGCTATCTCATGTAAAAATAAAAAGCCAAAAATAACGATAGATAATCATAAGTTAGTGTGTAATTTTTCAAGTTTTTATCATAATTTACATTCAAATAATAGTCAGTTAAATAGTATAGTAGGTTTAATTATAAACTTCTTAGAAAATTATAAAAAACAAAAAGAAAAAGAAAAAGTAGTACTTGAACAGTTTCTAAACTTTGAAAAGCATTACAAGAAAAGTATTGTAAAAATAACTGAAAATCAAGATTATTTGCAACAACAGATTTAATTTGTCAAAAACAATATCAATCCAGTAAATTTGCAACTTTTGAAAGAAAGAAAGTCATATCTTTTTGTTCAAAGTATTCATCATCATACAACTATTTTGATCCAAAATCAAGAATAGTTGTTAAAACAAGTTCAAAAGTTTCAAAGATTAAGTCTTCAAAGATTAAGTTTTGGTTTGAATGGGTGAAACCTCTTTCCTTGGAAATACAAACCATCAAGAAGCTTAATAGGAAGTAGAAAAATTAAGTAATCCCTATGGATTAACAAATTTTCAATATGTAGCAATTCAAAATTAGGTACCAATAGGATAGCAAAATACCCAAATTATTTTGCTATTATGAATCCTTAAAAATTAAGAAAAAATCTTAAGTGAAGTACAAAAAAAAAAAAAAAATCTTTTGAAAACACTCACTTAAGAACAATAAAAATATTTTAAGAAAGAAAGAGGCAAATTTTTCTTTAGGAAGTAAGTGAGAAAATTGATATGGTAAAAACTTTTGACCTTGAAAAGGATCTAAGATGGATAAAACCTAATCTTATGTCTATCTAACATAAAGGTCAAAGAACATAAAGCCTCTAATTCAAGAAATTCTATTGTGTTACTTTAAATTTCAAAAATTGTAGAATCATATAAGAGCATAGGTAACTCTTTGATAAGGATGTTTTTTAAATGAAAACAAATTTAAGAATTTTTAAAAGTCAAAACCTTAACAGATCTTGAAGAACAAATAAAAATATTCAAAACTCATAAATCTAACTTGGCCAAACCCAAGTATCTTTATGAAAATGCAAATTCTTTGTTTAGTGTTAGTTCTATCTTACAGCATTGCAAAGAAACCCAAATCTCGTGTCAAAGATAGTAATTGTGTTACCCTAAGATTGTTAAGTGAAAATGGATATTTTAATTTCAGAAAGATGAAATATTCATTGGTTTACATAGGGTTAATCACCATAGGGGTTAAAACACTCTATAGAAAGGGTTTAGGTACAAAATACCTTCAAACTCTTTTGGATACAAGGCACCAAAATGTGGTTCAAGCCTTAGGGTATATCAAAATAGACCTATCAGAATAAGGGGGATTTGCTTACTTTACTACCAATTTTCAAATGAATATAAATGCCTTTAAGCAATTTATCAATGTGGGAATCATGACCAAAGGTCGTTCGATGATTTAAGGAGAGAAGAACCTTTTACTCATAATGGCACTACCAAATATAAAGTAAGTAGTGAAGAAATATGCAAGATATATGGGACAAAGGGAATTAAGGCCATTTAGGCCAAAAATTTAGATTCAACCTATTTAAATGGAACTAAATGGAACATCACTAGATTCTTGAGTAAATTCATAATGGCACCCAATCCAAACACCTTGTATCAAAATTATAAGGGAGAAATGAATCTAAGCTTTGATGATTATGAAAATATTCTTCCTAGACAAAAAGAAAATGACGAAAATATTGAAATCAAGATACCTAATAACATGTTTCGAGTGCATGATTGTGCCTTGGGCTTGGATTAGATACCTAATAACAAGATAATGTCTAGGTTTAACATCTTTTAGTTATTAGATCTAGCTTTGTAATTCTTAATTGACATGTTAATACTGCTCTTAACAGCCTGTTGTTGACAATGTTCTTGGGCCATTTTGAATGCTGTAGGGTAGTTTTAGTGGAGACATGGTAGCATTTCCTGCAGCAAATAAAATTGGTAACATCAATAGACTTCAAGGCTCAAGCTTTCCCAGCTCAATATAAATTGTGTTCTTTCTTTGTAAAGATAATCATGCTTTATTTTTGCCAAAACATATTTAGTTATTAATTTTGAGACAATTTGTACAATTATTCAAATATTTGAAAATGAAAAATATAAATAGTGTCTTATTAACAAAATAAAAATTTAATTTAAATAATGATTTTAATAAAATTTAATTTAACAGAAATTTCAATTGATAGGCATAACATTTTAATATATTCGATTAGCATATTAAGAAATATGTGTTTTTTTAAGGCCGTCTGAAATACATGTATTTCAAATTTAGTTTTTATTCAATCCAAATAATGGATTTCAAGATACAAGTATTGGGACTAATATATGTTAAATAATAAAATATATGCATTTAAAATATACACTCTTAAGTACAAATATGCTTTCCAAATGCAACATAAGAGAACTTGACGCAAGTGGATTCTAACTAATTTTAGTCGTACTAGCTTAATTTTTCCATTAACTTCGACTTGATGATTTTATATAAAAAATAAATGACAATTAAAAGATTTTTTCTTCTTATAAGTAATGATTGTTAAATATTTTTACTCAGATAAAAAATTTCAATTATCATTAATTTATGAGAAAAATGATCAGCAAACATATTAATAAAAAATTAGGTAAAAAATACTTTAAAATTATATTATTTTAATAAATTTTATTAAAAAAATATTAAAATGTCTTTGTTTTTAAAGTAAGAATATGATTAGTTTAATCTTTTTTTATAGTGTTTTATTAAAATAATAGAATTTAAAATTGTTTTATTTAATTTTTTTAGAGGTAATTAATAAACACCAATTTCTTAATTTAATATATAAAATCATTAAGTAAGTTACATAATAATGTATGGCAAAAAAACAAAGTTACTCCTTTTATTTAATGTTAGTAAATTTAATATTTAATTTAAGATATGTTTTTTGAACAAACTCAAATTTCAGGGGATAGGGGATCTAAACTAACGTTATCATAATGAAAGTGCACTTTCAAAACTTGCTATTAATTAGTTGGCTCACAAAGCAGGGTGCAAGATATTTAAATGTAATTGTTAATTATTTTTTAAAAAATGATATTTAATGTATCTATTTTTGTTGTACTCTAATTTTAAAAAAATAATTATAATTTATATTAAATAAAAAATTATTTAATTAATAGTTAATTATTAATAAATATAAAATTTTATTAATTAATTCCTCCATCTTTATTTATTGGATGGAAAGAGAGTTTATAAGGAAGAGTTTATAAAAAGACACGAGGGAGCAATTGAATCAACGGGAAAAAGTGTAATGCAGTGGACTGTATCTACCATTGAACGAGGATTGAGAATTGTACGCTTTGATTTTGGGTTTTATTTATTTATTTAATAATTTTTATTTAATAATTTATTATAATTTTAATTGTAAAATAAAGTTTCTAGAAATTGATATAAAAAATAAAAAATTTTCTTATATATAAATTTTATATATTATACTTATATCAATTTTAAATTATTTATTTTTTTATTTTTAATAATTAAAATTTATTTATATTTATAAAAAATGATTATTTTTTAAAATATGAAAATCTTATATATAAATAATTTTTTTAAAAAAAAATTAATTCACCAGCTTTTATGGCTCGATGAGCTGGGCCTCCTAGTCTTAGATGATGATAGGCCCATGAATGTTTGGTAGGCATCGCTGCGGAAAACAAGAGATTGAAGGCTTCTGTTGGGTGGACTGTGAAGAGAGAGTCTGAGAAAGGCGGTTGTCTAATCGGAACGGGAACGGATGATGGCATCGATGTGCCTCTGCTTGCCGTATGCTTCCACAACCTTAGTACTGGCTTCCGCGGCATCTTCTTCATCGTCACCGAGCCACAGTTGCAGATGCTCTTTTATCGTCCCTAAGCCGGCTTTTTCTTCCGTTTCTAGTAGTAATTCCCGGAGGAGAAAGATGCAGGTGGTGCGTATGGCACCGGAAGAAGAGAAACTGACTCGACGAAATCCTCTTGATTTCCCTATCGTAAGTTCTTCTTTCTCTTGTGATTGACTTCGTTCTGAAACTCGTTTTTTCTTGGAAAATCTATTCTTTCTGCTGCAGGAATTCGGTTTACGGAATGATTGAAAGTAGAGGAATAATTTTTATGCCGAACTTCGAATTATTTTTAGAATTCAGTTGTTAGTAGTGTTTGTTGGTGCTAGGACGCCAATAATAGTTGAAATTGGAATTTAGTAAATTAGAAAATGGATAATTGTGTAGGTTCCTAATTTCTAGGGCAGGTTTATTTTACATCGTGTTTGGGGTAGAGGGAAATTAGGGGAAATGAAATGGAAGAAAAGAATTGTCATTTGAGGTCTTCATTTAGTCATTTTCTTTAACACAAAAATGCTTGTTATTGTTGTTTTTGTTCTCATTAGTTTGATTAATATGACTTTTTGTTTTAATTTTCAATGGCAGGAATGGGAGAGGCCGAAGCCTGGGCGTAGACCTGATATATTTCCCCAGTTTAGTCCTATGAAAACACCATTACCTCCACCAATGCCACATGATCCTCCAGAAGAGGATGAAGAGTTTGGAGAAGAAGAAGAGGAAGAGAAGGAAGTGGAGGAAGAACCTGAGAAGGAAGAGTAGGAGAATCTTGCAAAGTGGAGCATTCAATTGGCAGCAGGCATGGGCCTTGAACTCATTCAATTTTGTTGTATTAGTTTTAAGTATTTTTTACATGCTTATATAACATGTTGAGAGCTAATGAAATGGTTATAATCAACCAATTGGAGTATTGTGTTTCAGCTTGAATGATTATCTAAATGTTTTCTTAATCAACCAATTGGGTTTTTCTGGCTAACAGGAAAGTTAGGCTTTATTCCTGTTTTGGTTGCATTTTGTGAGGGTTTCTGAATTGAAATAATTTTTTTAGTTATAGTGTGTTTGTGATTGCTTACAGGCTACAGCGCTTTTTGCACAGCTATACACTATTAAAAATGTTAATTTGTTATCATTAAATTGATCTCAATTAATGTTTAGTGTATTTTAGTAATTATCAAAAACTAACATAGCTTTTGGTAATATACACTAATATGGTGTGTCAAACTAAAAGGTTTAGTTTGCATGCAAAATCCTGCTGTTTTAAATCTATACTTGGAATCATTTGAATGCTTTCATGTAAGTGCAAAATAACTCAGTTTGAAGAATCTAAGATTTGGAATGGAAATATGATCTTTTAATTTCAAGACAACTAAACATAACTTGGATTGTGAATTCTTCTAAAGACTGTAGCCTCTAAAACCTGCGCATTCAACTTAGGTTCCGTTGACAATCTTTGTACAGGCATTTTTCATAAAGCACTTTATCTAAAAATTTTAATTTGTTATTCTTAATTAATTTTAATTAATTTTTCCATATACTTTTACTAATTTTAATTAATGTTTATATGTTTTTAAGATAATAATAATAATAATCATAATAATAAAACATATGGCTAGAGATCAGCCTTGACAAACAAAGCCTTAATTAGAACAATTTAGATCCATCTAAGACTATCTTATCTTGACAGGAAGACTCCTGGGAGAGAAAATGGATGAGCCTTTGCTTCAATCATTAGGTTTAATACATTTAAGAAATATATATTTCAGTTACCTTCACCATCTACTACTGTTTTGAGTAGAAAGTAATCCAGACGGTATAAAACACACGATCACATATCTCTATCTTGCTTCCACTATGGTTATAGATACACGGTTCACCGAATGAATCTCTGAATTGTCACTAGGAAATGTAGACCTAGTTTCATCTTTTCTTGTACAATATGCTGGTTCTTCAGGCTGGGGAATGGATATAGCATCATTTGTGAGCATGGAAATAACATCTGACATGGTGGGTCTATCAGCTGCTTGATCCTGCACACATAACAGGCCAACCTGCAAGCATTTTAACAGTTCGTTTTGGGGGCATGACTCCAGCAACTCATCCTTAAATTTAAGAGCATCACCTCTTTTCCACAATTCCCATGCCTGTAGTCATTTTGAATGTTGGTGGCAAATGTGAGTTTAATTGTGTGAATGAATGAGAGATTATCATACATTTATTATGTTTAGATCTATCTTGATGGCTTACATGATCTATTAGGCTGAGTGGATTATCTGATGAAGTAAATACTGTGTTCTTCTTGCCACTGACAATCTCTAGCAACAGAACCCCAAAACTGAAGACATCAGACTTCACGGAGAAAATGCCATTCATGGCATACTCTGGGGACATATAACCGCTGCATACAGCATATGTTATAAGTGGTCAAATACAGGTCAAGATATATTCATTTATACAGAAAGTGAATTAAACATAATATGTATGCATATATGTCTACATTGATTTACCAAAAAAATATGTCTGCATTTGTTAGATATTGACCATATATTTTTTGAGACCTTGAACGTAATATGCACTTACTATGTTCCAACTACTCTGTTTGTGTTTGCTCTTGACTCATTATGACCAAAAATTCGTGCCATTCCAAAATCTGATATTTTAGGATTCATTTCATGGTCAAGAAGAATGTTACTAGCTTTCAAGTCTCTGTGTATCACTCTCACTCTAGAATATTTGTGAAGGTAAAGAAGTCCTTGGGCAACTCCTTCAATGATGCCAACACGTTTCTTCCAATCCAACAATTTCCTTTTAGAGGGATCTGTCATCAATATTAGAAATTTTGTTGGAGGTTAAGCACTTGCAGATGCAACTATTGCAGAAGTTTCTACATGAGGAGAAGAATGAAATACCAACCAAAGAGGAAGGAATCTAAGCTCTTATTAGACATGTATTCATAAATTAACATCTTCTCCTCTTGTTGTATGCAGCAACCCAAAAGCCTCACCAGGTTCAAATGTTGAAGTTCAGCTATCAAGGTGATCTCATTCATGAACTCTTCCACTCCCTGTCCAGAGTTTCTAGCTAACCTTTTTACTGCAATTGGTTGCCCATCCAGTAGCATACCCTGGACATTAGAATATATATGTTACTTTAATTTCTCAAATTAGCCCAGAATAAAATTTGAAAAATTACCTTGTAAACAGGTCCAAAGCCACCTTGTCCAAGCTTGTTTGCTGGAGAGAAGTTATTTGTGGCATCAACTATTTCTGAAAAACTGAACGACTGAAACGGATTGCTAGCCTTTTTAGTTCTTCTTAGGTGGTAGAAAAGGGGAAATTGGTTTTTTGACTTGCCTAATGACCTGGCCTGGGCTGTTGTGTCTCCTTCTGCAACAGCATGAATGACTGTTAAAAAATATGTTGTCACACCCATATGTGTTGATCTAGGAGCAATAAGACTGCTTCATGCAGTCATGCTTACCAGTCCCTTCAATCCCTTGCATGAGTTTTTGTTTTCTCCTCGTTACATAGAAGTAGCCCAAAAGCAGCATCGAAAGTCCCAGACCAATGGCTATGATGCACCATATCCACCACAAATATTTCACACTTCTCTCTGGGCTTCTAGTTCTAGTTTTCTCTAAAATTAATAAAAAAATCAGTCCCGGGACTAATTAGGAGCACTTGTTAGATTCTACATAGGAAACTGTACAATATTGCTGAATATGTGATATGATTGATTGATTGCTGTAACGCAGGACTCAATGGGGGTAAATATAGATAAGATGCAAAGACATGCATACCTTCACCGCTAGCTAATGTAAGGACGTAAAGAAGATCAAAGTTCTCATTCTGGACAAAGTTTGAGCCTTTACTCCAAAGCCGGCATCCTGTCCCATCAGCTAGAAGGCTTCCATAGGCAATGCAAGAACAATTCTTCCAGCAGCTGCTGTGACAGTCGCTGAGAGCCAAACTTGTGTTGTCATCAGAGTACAACAAATTGCTGTCATTATAATATCCTCTAGTTGGCACAAATAGCTCAGATTCATTCCTGCATTTAGAAGGCTTCGGTAATATGCAGGAAGCACTTGGATAGTTTGCATCAGTTTTGCAAGGACCAGCAAACGTAAGCTGCCAAGTGGTGCCATCCGGATCTAAAGTGTACTGCAAGATTTGTCCCCAGGTATTCAGTTGCCATCTTGAAAGAGTAGAACTGCTCTTAACAGAATAGGAAAAATTTTGTTCATCTGAATTTGAAACGAAGCTGAATTGATACAGGTCGCTCCTCCTTGTAAGCTCAGGAGCCATCTGAAAACTTCCACTTTTCCAGACTCCACTGGTCCAGTACACTTCCTCTCGCTGCCAAAGAACCAGTTGATCATCATTTTCATTTCCTATCCCCAGCTTGAAAGCCCCTGGGGCGGGAACTTGGTTGCTCAACCATGAATGGAGTACCCAGTTTTTTCCAGTCTTCAGGTTCATGCCTAGTTTCATACCTGGCAATAGTGTATTACCCGGATAATCAAAACTCTGCCACAATATTTCTCCCCCTGTTGCAGTGGAACCAGCTTCTCTCAATACAAAGTTTCCAGTATCCATTACACTGGCTGTCAGGTTGCTTGAATTTGCCTGATTAGAATTTAGCACTATGGGTTGCCCTCCATTGTGCGTGATCTTTAACTTTCCATCGCTATCCAAGCTGAGAACTCCAGATGCATCAAGGATTGGATTTTCAGGATTTGCCACCCAAACAGCATCTGGGTTATGTGGTAGCTTGCTGTACCATATTCCCAAGTAACGGTAAGTCGAAGAGTTGGGGCTGAAGAATCCTAACTTGAAGATACCCGTTGGAGAGAGTATATGCTCCCAATCCCTCAGCTGCCCACCTTGCATTAGCTCAAATCGTAGCTGTGCTTTACAGCAGTATGGTGATCCCAAGAACAGGCATGAGGTAAAGAGAAGAAGAAAGCCTTCTACTTTAGCCATAAGCCTGATCTTAAGCATCAATCAGGTAACTGTGTGTCAGACATTAAGCTTTATTTTTCAAAGGAAACTTTCCTCCTATGAATGAGTCACTACGGGGACTACTCCACTCGATTTGATTTATCAGACCGCCCCTTTGGAAAGTCTTGCTTCTAGAGAGTAGGATGTACACATTTTCAACAAATGTCATGTTTTTTTCACTTTCACATTTGGTTGAAAGAGGTTCCTACCCTACAAGACAAAAAGACACTAAATGCGTTTTCATTGAAAATTCATAAACAATGTGCTTTTTGATCGATTCTTTTCGATGTTATGTTAACACACTAAATTGTTATAATTATAATCTTTTTTATCGACACTTATTTATAATATTTAAAATTATTAATATATAAATTAATTATAGTTATTAATTATTTTTAATAATTATATTAAATAAAATTAATAGTTTAAAAAACAATATTTAAAATTTTATGTAAATCTAACATTTGATGGGTGGTCATAATTATTTCTCTTTACAATCTCCATAGTTTAATTTAATTTGTTAGCATTTTAGCCTATTTTTCAAGAAAAATAATTAAAATATAACTTTTATGTATAATTTTTTAAAATTATGTGTAATAATTTATACTTCATTTATCTCAAAATAATAATTATTTTTTACTTTAAATTTATTTTAAATTAGTTATTATTTTTTTTAACTTAAACAAATAAAAAAATTTAAATTGAAAATTAAACAAAAATGCCCATCCCTTGATCCACTGACTTAAAAACCAGTGGAAAAAACCATTGGATAAACACCAAAAACCGGTACCAAAAAACCATTGGACAAAAACCAAAACGGTACCTTTTAAATTAAAAAATTGAAAGAGATTTGTCCTTTGTAGGAGATAAGCTTCCTTTAAAAACTTATGTTTTAATAAGAAAGAGTTTAATTCACTCACTTTTTAGAAAAGAGAAATACAGGAGCAACATTACACATGCTCTTATGTCATTTAACATCATATCAAGGGGGTCGGGGGAAGAGAGTGGGGTTTGGGCACTCAACCCCCCGGTGACTAAAGGGGAATGAGACTTGCTTCGGAAACTGGGAATCTAGAAATTTTCACTTTACTTTTAATGCAATAAAGCTCTCGTGGCATTACCTTATTGGCTCAAAACGCACTATGTCTTAGTAGTGGTGCCGACAACACCGCCTTAATTTCTTTGAACTCTTTTTCAACTACACTTCAATTTTGACATTTAGGTCCCGTTGTCAGCTGAATATGGATAAGTATATATGCAACTCAAACACAATTGTCCCATGTCACTCAGCTAAGAAATCCATGGGGATATCAAATCAACTTCACACAATCAATTGATGATATGAAAGATTGCTTCCCGCTGATAATTGCTTGTGTATCTTCATTATCAAAAAGCTATATCTTCAACTTGTTTATTTTTTTTGTTGCATGCAGTCTTTGACACCATTGATGTTCCAGTCTTTGTTGAGGCTGATGGTATTGTTAATAAGGGAACCTGCTGCCTCCATGACCACGCTGCTATATTACAGTCATCTTCTTTCTCACAACACAATCTGGGAGAGACTGGTTCGACGGGAGATATTGTTTGATGATGAGAATTACCTATATCATTTTATCATTTACTTGTTAACATGGTTTTGGTAGATAAAATGCTGCCTGGATTTGCCTGCAAAGTGCTAATTTTAATTGTTTACTCTCCTGATTGGTGAAGAGATTTTGCTCCTTTTGCTCCACTTGCCAATTATCTGAATTCGATTGAAGCAATTAGATCATTGGTGAGTGTTGTTTTTACATATAGTCACAGTTGACCAGTTGTTGTTTGTTCACTTATTCCCTTCAAATATTATTGGCGAAATAAATTGTCATTATTTTTATTTTGACCAAAAATAAGACTTTAGTGACTAACAAATTAACCACTGATTATATATATATATAT